TGACCTCCAAAGAGGAGAAACGTCGCGTTTTCTTGAACTTCCCTCAGAATCAGAAATGAGGGCCTGTTATCGTTCATTTTATGGTGCCACGTCACCAAACGAAAGTCTGCAATCTTCCGTATGTGGTGTCTGTGGGAGGTAGGCATTCTCAAGGCCGATCAACTGAAATGGTTCTCCTTGCAAGAGACCCCCAACCGCCATTGTTTGGTTCCGGCTCACGCTCATCCTGTGCACGATTTGTTCGATGGTCTTTTACTAGAGTCGTCTGCAACTCGTCAAAGCCATGATGGCCTCTCTGTCCAGATCTGTCGCCACTGCATTGGACTCGGACTATCAAATGCGTCGATTCCGAGGTGCAATATATTGGTAGTACAACTTCCTTAGCAATTAGTTTGAGACATAGAGAGTAGTCATATAATCTTTGGTTACGATAATTCACAGAAAATCTCAGAGACAAACAGTAGTCAGGTATATAGTTCAAGCAAGGTTGCTGCCGACGCAGACGCCAGTTTCGAGCTTGACATATTCGCCAAACAAAGAAAAATAGTCACTACATCCAGACGTGCTGGCATATGATCGTCGCTCTCGATGGTTAGACTCGGGTTCTCCACCTTCCGATTGTCACAATACCATCGCCTGGAACTACCATGATCGTCTCCTGCGCTCTTCCTTTCTCCCATCGCTGTATAATGACTCGGACGGCGCGCGTCTAGAGGGTATGCAGCTTCATCGGTCTTGGTTATGTGGGACGCAGGAGCCAAGTCAGCCGACCCACTGATCGTGAGCTACTTCCCTTCGATCGACCTGGTGAGAATCTGAGATGGACATCAATGAAAGGAATTTCGCAGTCAGGGAGTGCACCCCACAACTTTGTTCAACCGCCGCCCACACTGGTCCATCACGTCAACAGGCACCAAGACCCAGAATTGAGCCTAGGATCTTTTCTCTCCCGGCGCGCACGACAGGCTTGGGACCCTGACAGCCACAGGGACGCTTGGGCCTTACCGTGGAGTCATCCCCTCAGGTCCACTTTACGTGTATTCAGTGATCCACGTGTAAGTTACTTCCCTCGCTTCTTTTTGCCCCATCCCGAAGTTGCTTCCTTCCACTACCGCTCCAGCCAGTTATTGACTCTCACCCTGTAGAACTCAATTTGCGACCAATGGAACACACTCATTCGCACGAGTTAGGTGCCCGGGGATATGGCAAGTATAGGCTGGGTAAAAAGATTGGTTCTGGCTCTTTTGGTGCGTCTTCTGTCCAATTGATCATCCTTGAAGCTCATTACATCCCGTCACCAGGCGATATTTATTTTGGTGTTAATATCCGGTTGGCGACGCAAGTTGCCATCAAACTCGAGCCCGCCAACTCTAGACACCGACTGCTCAAGTATGAATCATACGTCTACAAGACCCTCGCTGGGGGTATAGGCGTACCTACCATTCACTGGTATGGCACGACAGAATGCGACTGCAATGCCATGGTTTTGGATCTTCTAGGTCCATCACTTGAGGATCTTTTCAACTTCTGCGGGCGCAAGTTCACCCTCAAGACCGTCTTATTACTTGCCGATCAGATGGTCTGTACATCATTTATCACAGATTTCTCTTTGTCCTGACTATTGTTAGATTTCTCGTATTGAATTCACCCACTCTCGGAACTTCATTCATCGCGACATCAAACCGGACAACTTCTTGATAGGCATTGGCACGAACCAAGTGAACCAAGTGAATATTATCGATTTCGGCCTTGCGAAAAGATACCGTGATCCTAGGACCCTTATCCATATCCCCTACAAGGAGGGCAAGAGTCTCACTGGCACTGCCCGATATGCGTCTATCAACACTCATTTGGGCGTACAGCAGGCCCGCCGAGATGATCTCGAGGCGCTTGCGTACATCTTCATATATTTCCTTCGTGGTCATCTCCCATGGCAAGGCATAGAAGCCGCTACCAAGAAGTCGAAGTATGACAAGATCAGGGACAAGAAGATTGAGACGAACATTGGTTCACTTTGCCGTGGCCTCCCTTCCGAATTTGGCATATTTTTGAACTATACACGCTCTCTAGGTTTCAGCGAAAAACCTGATTACTCATATGTTCGAAAATTGTTCCGTGACCTGTTCATCCACGAAGGATTCAAATATGACTACATGTTTGACTGGAAAATGCTGCGCCATGTGCAGAATGACCCAAATAGTCCATCTCAGGCCAAGATTAAAGTTCAGGGAGATGCTCGTCATCATTATAAGCCACGGCGTTCATATGGACGTTCGCCTCAGAAGAGGGTGCCTGATGTTGTCGGACAATGACATGTGGCCTGTGGACAGGAGGATGGTCGTTGAACAGTGCCTTATACGATACATGTCCCGTACGATACAACTTAGTCCCATACGAGTCTTCGCATACTCTAGTTTAAACCTTACGAAGCTCCCAAATGCAAGTCAAACTTTGTTTCTCTAGCACAGAACAACCACCACTCCACATCGAAGTAGTGCGCATGCTGTTGCGAGTCTCGCTCTGAAGTCCATTGTTTGGTTCTGTGCTCGCACCCTTTGACGCCTGCTCAAATATGTCTGCTTACATCGGACCAAATCTCATCTAACGCCACTGGCAATTCAATTTCTATACCTTCCCGGCTCCCAAGAAGCGCAATCCATTCATTTCTACATTCTATGAATTCTTGCCCAGCGCCGATTTGGTTTCTTCGCCTACACTAGAATTTGGTTGCCAAGCTGACGCGTCTAGAGTCGGCTCTTACTCTGGCAAAGGATTTCTGACGTACTAGGGATGCAAGCTCATACGATCTATCGGCAGAACGCGGATAAACTGCGCTTAATGGGTATCAAGGACAAGCTGAAACATCTGGATTGCGAGATCAAGAAAAACACCCCTGATCTGCGCAAGGTGACGAAACTCATCCACTCTGAAGATTGGGCTGAGCTTTATTATATAGGTTCAAGCCACGTTTGAGAATCTGGAACGTCAAACTTGCCCAAGAGGAGAGTGAAGCAAGGCTCTGCTTCGATAACCAGATTGCGCGGTTGACGCATCAGTATGTATCCAATCTCATGAGCAGAATACATTTCTTACTCTATTGAAGGGCCAAATTCGAGGAGGGGTTGAAAGCGGCCGGGGAGCGTTTAGCTTACCTAGAGAACCTTCTTGAAACCGAGTGCGTTAATCTGGAGAAGTACGAAGCCCAGAAAGCTCAGATCCGGCAAGAGATCGAATCTCTGCAGAACCAGGTTGAGAAGTTGGAGGCGGACGTGAGGAAGTGGTGGATGAAAAGACGAAAGCCGTGGATCAGGTCAAGCGTACGACGATGAAAGCGGGGAAAGTGCTGGATCAGGCGCAGAAAGATATTTCAACCTGCGTACGTGATGATATGCGAATTTGTGAGTTGTGGGCTGACATGCGTTTGGTTAGAACAACGAGATCAAGAAACTCGCGCTCGAGGGGTCGTCAATATACAGAAAGTGCCACGTAGAGGAGGTCAGGCTTCCTCTACTGCAAGGACATTGGAAGAACATCCCAATGGAAGAAGTAAGCCCGTCTTTCTTTAATGTTCGACGTGCGTTGATTGGTGGGTGAAATAGAATCTGCATGAGGAAGTCGCAATCATGGACGTTGACGAAGACGACACTGGGACGCAGCCTATGAAAAGGTCCAAAACTACAGAATTGAGGTTGATTTCAAGTTGCTCAATCATGAGGAACATGAAGATGGGTCTTCGTTGATGCGGTTTTATAAGCAGATCGCCACAATCAATGCTGAGATTGAGAAGATCAGTGGCACCGAATTTGAAGGCGATGGAGAGGTTGGGCGACATTGGGAAAAGGAAGCTGACAAGGTGAGGAAGGACTCGAAGCAAGTGTGTGACTCTCAGTTTACCAAGATTGAGCTGAGGTGGAGGTACATGTCGCGTTCCACACCTTATGAACACTTCTAACATGTGGTTGTTCAACATGATATAATCATACTATATGACCCGAGAGAAATCCAGTAAATTACACCTGCTTGGTGACCAGGGTTTGTTCAACCAGAGTTTTGGGCGACTATGTCAGCAAGCGAGATGCACTGCAGGGCCCAGGCCAGCCTGAGGACATGCATGCAGAGCAAGTAGCAACTAGGTTGCAGGACTAAGGTAAGATCAGACTTCTGTAGCCCAGACCGCTGGTTCATTGGACGAATATATGATAGGTCTGCTATTCTGCGAGAGAGTGAGCCAAACAGAGGTAAAGAGAGCTTAAGAGAGTTTAAGAGAGCCAAAGGGAAACAACCAAACAAATTAAGTTACATGTCACTGCATCTATGTTCTTATGCTTGTCGTATATCAGTGTGAGATTGTGGTGCAACGAAGGGTCAATCTCCCTATGAGGTGATGGTATTGCTTCCACAAAGCTCAAGAAAGGCGCTATCTAGACTCGTACTTAGTTCACACTTAGGTCATGGTATCACGACAGGTAGTCACACCCATACCCCTGTATCCAGGCCAGTGTCCTCCTCCTGGTCAGTCCTCTGCTTCCCCGCACGCAGAACCTGACCAGCCCAGAGCATTCTCATCTACCACAATGGAGATCCTTCACAAATTGCATTCTCACCAAGCACGTCATGCGCTCAGCCTCAGCCTCGCCTTCAATCTCATCTTCTCCGCCTAGCACCACTAAATCCTGCAGCCCACCTCCAAGGTGTCGTTGATGACCTCAATGCATACAACAAGCCTGGAACCTTGCCAACAATGTTCCCTCCTCCCAGGCATCATCAACAACCTCCAAAATGCCATACTACGTGTAACGTGCCTGCAACCTTGACAATGACAGCCTTCCACCCCATCAGTATATGCTTGGTCATACCTGTACCCGCACTGGTGGGTACAGGTTTGGGCACATGTTGCGAAGTGCCGACCCGTACCCGGGCCATACAGCCCATACCCATGCGGGTTTGCCTGACCTGTGCAGATCCCTAATTGTACCACTACCGAGAGTCAATGTCATGTAGGCCGACTAGCGCAGTTGGTTAGAGCATCGAGCTAATGACTCGAAGGTCTTGGGTTCAAACCCCAAGTTGGCCATAACTTTTTTCCCTTGCCAGTTGTACTGTACTTCTCAGTTCTCATACATAGATAGTCATTTTGAATACAACTGCATATTCCGAGGCTGTAGTGAAACGAAGGTCTCGGTTTTATAACCCGAGACCTCTCCATTTTTATTCCCGTTAAGCGCCGGCACTTCCCGGATTATATAATCCACATAAAAATGAGCACTTCGCGTGAGTCTACGCCCATTTCTGCACGGAATCTGTATCACTGATTCACTGTATCCACAGGCACAGCCTATACACGTTCCGCGCGGAATGTGGAATTCCAGCAGAATAGGAGTGGAAAATGCATTTACTGAGCCGTGACTACACGCCTCTTTCCCACGCATCACAACGCTCCCCGACATCGTCATGCTCGCTCACCTGGCATTGCCTCGCCCTCACAACACGTCCGTTCCATCCTAAACCCACGCCCGAAGAGCCCCGTAGACCCTCAGTCCACCCCAAAGATCCCACGCCCCTTGATCCGCCGTACTTGCCAGCCAGCCACTTCCCTCAACCCCAGCACCATCGGCCACCATCTCGTACGTTCCACAGGATGCGGTCACTCTACCGCATCATCCAAAGATTGTCATCGACACTTTCGTGCCCAGCAGAGAGCGAGGCTCAACATAGTGACAAAGTCCGATCTGACGTAGTCTATTACGACGTCCAGCTAGCATCCATCATGGCTCCCAGTACCGGGCGAGTCCCTCCACCTTGGCTACAACACTGCAGTGCACCCCCTACGCTGGATTCAGTGCCGCATTTCGCATCTGACTAACCCCACAACTTGTTCTTTCCGGTTTCAACACCCCCGATCGCGTTCAAGTGAGATATCTTCATTATTTTTCTCGTATTCTGACCACACGTAGCTATAACCGGTGCCCATCTCGAGAAATACAACCAACCGATCTGGACGCCGACACCAATGCGACCAATTGGACGATGTAGGTGTGGCTACCACCGCCCCAACACCATCTCGCGCTTCCAACTCTTGTGTTCCTTCGTACGCAGCCCAGCGCTGAACACCGTTCCCTCCCTGCAAACCTCAGCGTGCCACCAATGCAGTCCCAACCTCCCAGTATAGCAGGCGGCTCCCTCACCGTGGCTACAACACTGCCGTACACCCCCGCTATGCATCCCTTCACGCGCCATCGCTCCTGCAGCAGCATCAACAGTATCAGCCTTGTAATCATGTCGCACCCGTCCCTCAAGCACCTCCGTCTTCCGTTACTGCGCAGCCCGCCAGCGCCTCTCACAACGAAGATCATTGCTTCTCTCGTCACTTCAGACACGTCCTAAATTATCAATCATGATTTGGTGATTTCTCCGCTCTCAGCTCTCTGCGTAATCCTTACGCCTATAACAGGTCACCAAGTCTCCCAAATATGTCTCTGCTCTTAAGCCTTGATCCCGTTCAATTGTACGCCCTTCGACGATCTCCCTTCAACTCTCTTCTGGTCTTCCTCACCCATCAATATCACCTTTATCGACAAGCTGTGTGCAGATTTAACCGCCCGTTCTTGTCCGTCTCTCATCCCTCGGCTTTACTGCGGGTACATGAAAACATGGTGATCATCCTCCTTGGCTCTCTCGAGTGACCCCTCAACTTGCCCTCTAGACTGGCTTTTTGCCATATCAATGTCTTCCCGCTACCCATCCAAAGAATTTGGACCAGGACTTTCCCACCATCATCGACACTTTTGCGCCTAAGCCTTAAGCGTGCGATCTATCCCCCTCCCTCGTCTGCTAGCAGCGAGCGGGATTCAACATCACCTCCCTACACATCAAATCAAAAGTTCTTGTTCAATGCATTCGTCGCTACGCGTTCTCGAGTTGTCCAGGTAAGTGGCATTCTCATTATGTTTGTTCTTTTCTCATGCGTAACGGCCGTAGTTATCTAATTCGCTTGTTTTGGCACAATCTTTTTTATCAGCTGTGGTTCTCCCGCAAAAAGTACGTTTCCAGAATTCTGTCAGAAGTTTTATGGTTATATACGGTGGCACCTAGGAAATATCTCTACACCTTTTCACTCTGGACTCCAAGGGATTCGGGACCAAATGTGGACACATGTTTGAAACCTGACCTTTGTACAGTATTTAGACAGTATTTTAAGATAAATATGTTTCTCATCTCTCTTGAAAGCCTGAGTCATGGTCAGAGCTAAAGCAATCAAAGCAACTTGGACAAATTCTAAAGCTAAAAAAGCCAGCAGACCCAAAGCTAAAGCCCAGGAATGCTCTACTGGAAAAGCTGAAGCTGCCAAAGCAAAACCAGCTGTTTTCCTGATGTAAGAGAGGGGCCTCGGACCTGCCACTTGGTGGCCCACATCTACAAGTTCCCTAGTGATTTACACACTAGAATCCACAATTTGGTGTTTTGACCAGTCCCTATGACCAGTGAAAAAGAAAGAGACCTGCCATATGATTGAGACATTGAAAAGAGAGCATAAAGAGAGTGTAAAGAGAGTGTAAAGAGAGTGTAAAGAGAGTGCACTGCCACTGCTATAGTGTGAGTCTTGACTCCAGCACACCTCCACATCCCCTCTTTCAAATTATGCCAACAACAGCTATCATCTTGTTGGCTACTATGAGCCTCTAGCATTCCTGTTCATGCAGCTGATGAGCCTCTACATTCAGATGCTTGAACAAGTTCTTTGTGGCATTTTTCGTGTATTTTGACAGGATGGAAATGGGCTCAAGCAGCCTGTGGGGTCATTTTCAATGGACAGGGATGTGGGAAGGCACAATATCATAGTACCCTTGAGTTTGAGATGTATCAGCAAGTCATCTTTTAATACAATTCAGATAAATATACATATTTTAAGGCTTGATAATGTCTTAACATAGCAGCTGCAGAGTGGAATTCATTGATCACATCTCACAAGAATGTCAAGGAATTCACCATTCAATAACACTCAGATAAAAAGATGGTAAGACCTAATAATATATTATGCAGCAGCAGCAGAATGAGAATGCTTGATCACATTTTACAAGACTGTTGTGTGGTTTATCAGTGGGAGATCCCTCAATGTAATTCAGATATATCAGCCATAAGCCCTGGCAGTGTCTTATATAGTAGTTACAGACTGGAATTCATTTATCAGATCCTACAACAATGACCAGTAGTATATCATTGCCTTATCCTTTGTTACAACTCTTTGAATGGTCGATAAGCCCTGATAATGTCTTATATGCTAATTTCAGTGTGGGAATTGTTGATCAGAACTATCTATATATACCAAACCCCCGCCGTTTTCCTGATGTCAAACCCGTCCCAAGAACATATCAAAAAAGCATTGTATATAGTCAAATACATTGCTCATACCTTAAACGTCAAAATCGTTTATAGCGCCAAAGGCAATAATAAATTTAGAGCCTATGCTGACGCTGACTGGGCCGCTGATCGTAATACACGACGATCTATAAACGGTTATGTCTTAATGTTAGCTGGTGGTGCGGTAGCTTGGACGAGTAGAAAACAAAAGACTGTAGCTCTGTCTTCGACTGAAGCGGAATACATATCTTTATCAGATGCTGCAAGACAAATTGCATGGGTTGAAAATCTATTTTATGAAATAGGTGCACCCATCAAAAGCATCTTACTTAGCGTAGATAACCAAGGCGCTATATTTTGGGCACAAAATCCTGCACAAGAACATCGTTCCAAACACATCGATATTCGCTATCATTTCGTTCGCGAGTTGATCGAGACTAAAAAGGTAGTTCTCGAATACATACCAACAAACGAGCAGAATGCGGATCTCATGACTAAAAATTTATCCTTTGAAAAGGTCAAATTCTTTAGAGAATGATTGGGACTTTCTTTAGAAGAATATCCGACTTCTACAAATGCATTAATCAAAAGACCAGATCGATTAGAGACTGAAGAAATCCGTGATCTGACGAAATTTATTCTTGATTGGCAAAATCTTGAATTAGATGGAATTGATCGTCTATCACACAAAAAGTTGATGGAACTTCTTGATGGTCTTATTGATCAACAAGAATCGGATATAGATCCCTTCTATGATGAAAACATCATAGACTTTAAATAAAGGATATCTAAGCGAAGGGGTGTGTTAAATATAGAATTATATTTATAGAATGATTAACTACTGATTGACTACAATCAATGTTACTCATATCGCTCGCGTCATCCTTTATGTATGACATAGAGATGACATCATAATGACTTCATTATGATATCATGGTGACATCATGATAGACTCATGATTACATCTTATGGTGTGCTTAGCACGCCATATCTTCCCATCTATACTATACGCTTACACATATGTAGACACATATTTGTTCTCTCTTAGTATATAAACCTGTCCTGTATCATAGAATAGGACAATCCATTCTCTTCCTCTTACTATCACTACTACGCCGAAGGGTAGTGCTAAGATCATATCGCAATAGGTAAGCTATTGCACCTGCTCATGCTGTGGACACGCTCTCGCGTAGACCTGTCTTCTTCGTCACGGAGATGTGCGACAGACGGCTTATTGCCGGTATAAGCTTCGTGCGGAGTTAAGGTGTTTTTTAAGGTGCGAGTTGGTGACCGGTTTAAGACGTATACGGCGTAGTTGACAGCAAAACTCCAGTAACGATTTGGAAGATCGGCATCCGTGAGAAGCGTGCGGGCCATTTCAACGATCGTCCGATTCATACGTTCGGCGATCCCGTTCTCCTGCGGTGTGTAGGAGTTTGTCTTCTCGTGGTGGATACCTTTTGACTCGAAATATGCAGTCAATTCCTTTGATCCAAATTCGCCTCCACCATCGCTACGGAAGTAGTTCACCCGTTCCCCGGTTTCAACCTCGGCGCGCTCGATAAGCGCTTTGAGCGCTTTGCAAGTCTCGTCTTTGGAGCGGAGTAGCTTCACCTTTACGTAGTGAGTATTTCCGTCAATAAACGTGAGGAAATAATATTCGCCCTGACGTGCTTGTGTTTGCATAGGTCCACAAAGATCCGAATGGATGCGGTG